TAGTATGAGGTGGAGTAAGAATGATTTGCCTGTTCCGGCTGATCCTGTTAAAAAAAAAATGAATATTTTCCTTTGTGCATCGGGCCCCAAGTATTGCAGATTAGATCATATGATTTGTATTGGTCATCATCAAGAAATAAAGTAGTGTGTGTAAATGTAGGTGGTGATGGACGTTGTAGGGAAAGGAGTTGGTGTAGGATTAGATCATAGATATCTTTATTTTTTAATGTGTTTAAGATTTCATCAAGAAGATTTCTATATGCTGAGGTGATATGTGACTTTTGTGTTATTATGGTGTTATTAATAGTTGATATTACGTTATCATATTGTAGGAGTAAATGGACTTGAATCTTTCATGGTAAGTAGAGAAGCCCGCAAGGAGTTCTTCTTCGGAGTAGCAAGAGATTTTCATAATTAAGTGTTGAAAGAAGAAGGGTTCACTATCTTCTACTTTATAAAGAGCAAAATGTAACAGTTGAGGTTTTTTTTTGAGTGATATGTATCTTTTTTTTTGATCTTGAGTGCAATAAGTTTTTGAGTTTGGGGATGGTGCTTGGTATTTGATGTTGTAACTACGAAAGTAATTAAGGTATGTGAGGGATGCAAATTGAGGTGTACGGGGACGATCAAAGTATTTGTCTATTGCATCGTCCCAATATGGTTGTTCATCATTATTATTGTTTTCTAACTTTATGAGTTGGACATGGATTGGTTTGACAGATCTTGCGTATAGATTAGAGGGGGCTGATGGAAGATATTAGACGCGTATTGATGATATTGTTAAAGGATATTGTAAAAGTAAGATCATCAGTTCTTTAGAACTGAGTTTTCTCACTTGTACGTGTTTACGGTAGTTATCATGGTCATCTATTGTAAAGAGGTCTGAATGTTCTGGCTTTGTGACATATTTAGTGACATATTTTGCAAAGCTATTTGTGATAATATATTGAAAATTTAGATGACCCTGCCATATATATAAAGTTTCAGGGTTATAAGAAACAACCCAACAATCTTGTTGTTTTAGGCATTTGTATGTATATCGTAGTGAATTTGTGTTTACATGTGTTGTAGTTAAAAGGGGTTGTAGAAAACCTTTGTTACAAGGGTGTGTGTCGGTACCTGGGCCTCCGCATAAGTTGGGGCAGCATGTGTGTATTTGATATGTGGAGACTAGGTGGTGTAGTGTTGGTTCTCTAATTGGATCAGGTAAGTCAGTACGGATAAAATCAGAATTTATTAAGTCAGAGATAGAAGCTTCGGTATAAGCAAATCCGTGAGTGTGAATAGATCCTCTATTTTGAAATTCATCTCTTTCAAAATAATTTTCTAATTTTCCCCATTTTATTAACTGTGGATTTTTCCACAGTTTGTTTCTTAGATTATTTAATTTGTTATGATAGAAGAGATAAGTATGTAAAGGGCGATTTGATGTTAAGGTGTCATGGTTGTCTGTTATTGATAATATATAATGTAAATGTGGCCACTTTTTTTCAGCCATGGTGAAAGTATAAAAGAGTTGGGGTAGCTCTTTTGCACGAAGCATGGCATTGACTTGTAATTGTTTTTTCTTAAAAAAAGAAGCAGCGGTTCTTAGGCTTGAAGGAATAGAAGTTGTTTTTGATTCGTCGATAATAGGTCTATTTGTGTATATGCTTTGTGAGATAAGTTCAGCACGTGTGGAGTGGTACTGGCGGGAGATATTTTGTTGATTTAATAACCTGCATGTATTTTAGAAATTTCTTTTTTTTTCTACATTTAGGTAAGACCAGTGAGGCCAATACTAGTGTAGTCGAAATCTTGGATTGGGACAGAGCATTCTTAGCTTAATATATTTTCTGTAGCTTTCAGTTGTTGTATGTAGTTGTAATTTATCTTTTAGATCCTCGTAATGACCTTTTCTTGTAGGGAAAAGGTCAGAGAATAACAAAGCTTCTAGGTTTGCATTACTATAAGATATAGGGTAAACGGTTTCATTCATATTTATTGTTCCGGCTAAAAGATTACTATATCTGTAATCTTCGTTGTGGATTTCAGGTGGAAAAGGGTTGTTAGGAATGACTAATGTTGGTAAGTTTGATTGTGTGTAGTTTGTTGGAGTTATTTGCGTGGCTATTGGTAAGAGAGTTGGAATTGGAGTAAAGAGATTTTGGGGATTCGTTATATTACTATTGTTAAATTGGCTAAACAAAGGGTTATTTTGTTTGAGCCATGAGCTTGCAGTAATTAAAGAGTTGTGAAACCATTCATTATAGTTCGTTGATTCAAGAAAGGCACCAATTGAACCTGAGTAAAGTTGTAAGGCGTGGCGATTATTGCTTAATGAGATATCACTTTTTAAAAATCTATATGAAGAGTATAGATTGGATCTTGGATTTCTGCCTAATGAGCAGAATAGTTGAACAGGTGAGTGATATTTTCAGTGAAACATTGGTACAGATTGTATTTCAGGTGGAATTAGAGTAAGAATTGGTGGAAGGCGTCTAGTTTTTTGCTTTTTACAGCTTGTGCAAATTGCAACTTTAGTGTTGGTGTTATTAAGATATACAGGGATATCGGGAAATGCTAAAGGTAAAGTATACTGAGCGTTTGGATCAATATTAATCCATTGAACAGAAGAGTGAAACATTAGTATAGAACAGTAACAGCACAGTATATGTGGATGATCATATAAGATTTTTGTTTTGAATTGATGAAGTAGAGCGGTTAATTTAGGCGGAGGAGACCAAGATAGTATAGTCAGAATTTTGGGCATTAAAGGTACTTGGTTGGGAGGCAGGGTAAAGTTATTGATATTGTGGTTTGTTGTAGTATGATTTATTTCAGTATGCATTGTATACGGATCAAAAATATTTGAAGAGGAAGAAGCATGATCATTGAGAGAGTTTGTAGTTGAGGTTTGAGTAGGTAAGTAATAATGAAAAATATTTTGAGACATATTTTGGTTCAATACGAATTATTTAGTAAATGAAAAAGTGTTAGTAGGCTTTTTATAAATAGTGAGTTGTAGATGGGATTAGTGAAAGAAAGATTTATAGATAAAAGGTTTATGTTTTAATTAGTTAATTACTAATTTATTTGATTTATTAATATATTAGTATAGATTTTTAGTAATATATTGGGCATAATTCTTCAAACTCAGATCATGAAGGGGTAAAAATATGTTTTTATTATATTATCTTAAAATTTGAAGAAAAAATATTTTTAATATTAATTGTTTTTATATGAAGTTAATAGGATATTAGATATATTGTATGTAATTAAATTGATATTGGTGGTAGATGAAACGGAATTTTGCGTTTTAGTTCAGTTATTTCTGAATGAATTTTATGGGTATGTATTATATACGTTTAAGTATATAGAAATTAATTTAACAATCTGAATATTTTATATATTACATAATTTTGAATATATACGATAAATTGAATATATATAGTGTTAGTATTAATAGGTAATTTATGAGATATTAGGGTTATTTATTGAGATAATTAAGTGAAAAAGTATAATTTTAAAATAGATTATTTTCATTAGTGTGTAATCTTTTTAATGGTTGTTTGTGTAATATTTATTTAATTTATTATGTTAAATAGGTTATAGCATTTATGTTAGATCTAATTATTAGGAGTTGTGAAGTATATTTTGTTTAGAGTTTGTTAATTTTTATGATATATTAAAATAAAATAGGAGATAGGTGTATGATTTGTGGTAGGTCATTTATTTAATGTTTATATGATTAGTTAGTTTTATTTTATCGTTTTATTTAAAGATTAAAATATGGTAAATATGTGATATACAATATATTGTAGAAAGAAATTTCTTTAAATGGACTCTTTTTAGGGATATAGTGAAAATTCTTAAAAATGTATATTTAGAGAGGGTGTGCATTTATAGAGAGAAAAATATATAATGTAATTATAAGCTGGGACTAGATTATACTATGCATTTAAAGAGATTTTATATATAGAGTGCATTTATAAAGGGTTATTTAGAGATGTATATAGTATATATAGATTTTAATATTTAAATATAAATTTTGTATATTTTATTATTTTGGAGTAATATTGTATATTTGTAGATATGGCTACTGTAACTGTATCCCATAAAAGGCAATCAAATTTATAGATCAAGTGTAATATTACACAATTAGGAAAATTCGAAAAAATGTTTTTTTTTGTCGAAATCGGATATAAATCAAAAATTGAGGATATAAACTATCATTTGGGTTCTAAAAAAAAATTTCCTTGCTAAATTTTACTATAAAACACAGTTTTTTATCAGCTTATTATATTCATTTTACTATAATTTTAACTAAAAAAAAAAGGATTATCTTAGTTACGGCTATGGTAGCTTATGGCATAAATTAGTATTCTGCAAAATTAAATCAAAATTTGAATTTGTATCAAATATTTGATCAAATTTTTTAAAAATTTGATCAAATATTTGATTTAAATTCAAATTTTGATTTGACTTTGCAGAGTAGTAGCATAAATATTTTAATCCTATTATTTTTATTGTTTTAGTTATTATTGTTGAAATATTGATTTTATAGCAGGATCGGTAAGTCTATTTAGATTAAATTTTTTAGGTATTAGATAGTAATTTAATTTTTGTAAGATAAGTAAATTTTTATTTTATTTATTGTAGCAAGTATGCAAAATAAGTATATATACTGATATAATTATTATCATAAAGAGTTAATTTCTTATTTAGATTTTTTTGAATATATTATATTATTCAGAATAATCCGAAAATTCAGATTGATTTTGAGGTGTAGGTGGATTGGTTTGGTAGTTACTAATGGTATTATTAGTAGATGTAGAAGGAGCATTTGAGTTCATATTTGATCAGGTATTTCAGGTCCTTTTTGTTTGTCTAAGTATGGTTCGTTCATAGTTTCTTGCACTGTAGAATTTGAAGTATTTCCTGAAATTATTAAGGAAAAGTTGAAGAGTAAAATGAAGGTTAGAAATTAAAGGTGATAGAAATTTGATTTAGATTGTTAATTATGTACCTCTAACTTGTTCTAGAGTAGTTTGTAAATTATTAAATCTTAAATTTTCAGAGTTAAGACTAGGAGTGGTAGGTTTTGAGTTATTTTGACGTGGGTGTCTTTGTGATATGTTTTTATAGGTGTTGTTGGAAGTGCTTGAATGTGAGTGAAATTTTTCAGCAATTCGCTCTACTTGTCTTTTTCGCTTATTATTATAGTTTAAGTGATTATTATTTTCATAAGTAGAATGAGCATTAGGTGAAGCTATAGGGTAATTCCATTCAATAGTTTCACATAAAATAAAAGCAGATTTTGCTAGAGGCACAAGTTCGCCACCAACAGAAAAGATGGGCCGACGAGTAGTTGCATCTGCAACGTTTGTATGTCTGCTATGAAGTGGGTATTTACAAAGAATAGACAAGGTGGACTGATTTCCAGTAACGCCATTGTATACTTCTCTTTTTAGTCGAAATATGTCTTGGCCGCTTTCTGTTACTGCTGGATCTTGTATTGGTGCTGTGAAGAATCCGAATGCAGGGGCAATTGGGAGATCATAAATTGTAGGGTCATCTCCGAGAGAGCAGACATTTAAAGGAATGTATTGGTTAATTGTTACCTGGGTGAAGAATTAAAAATTCGATATATAATTAGGTATAATATATTTTAATATTATGATGTAATAGCTTGCTTACATTTAACTGGTTATTTTCGAAGGCAAATCGTCCAACAATTAGAGCTATCGTTTTTTTCCATATTTCTTCGATTAAAGGTGTATGTTCAGATCGGAAAGCTTTAAACTTATATTCTACAAATTCATCATCACCTGCTCTGTAAATTGCAGTTCCGGAAGTAAATTTATTTGGAGTTGAAATTTCTTTAACAAAAGAGATTGCACAGAACATTGAAGCCATTTTTTTTTTTTTAATAAGAAAAAAATATAAGGGTTTGTTGAATTATATATTTTGTTTAAATTGAGTTTTACGAGTATTTTAATTATTGCTTTCAAGTTTGTAAACTATTTTATAGATTTCGATACAATTTATAAGAGTTGCTATTGTGATAAAATCTTTTATTATCTAATATAGCGATTACGGAGTAGATGATTTTTTATTAGTAATCTTTCATTAATTAATAAAATTACGAAAGAATAGAGTTGGCGATAAATATTTTAAGATTGTACAATTTACTTATTTATTTCAATTGTTTATATTTAATTATTACTAAGCAAGATTTTTTTAGCGATAGCAAGGAAAACTTTTTTATCGGACTTCTAATCATTTGTGGCTAAATATTTGATAGATGTTATTTGACGAAAATACTTGCTTAACTCGAAAGTAATTTATTTTTTATTTTTTATTTTTTATATATTATATAATTGAATAACAAAAATTTTAGCACGGTATTTAGCGAGAAAATTTCGATCGAAGGTTTAGTATAGATAATTAATTAAAAGTCTGGTGACGGGTTTTACCATAATACTTTTTTGGCTGCAATTGTTAGTATATGAGTTTGGTCAAGGGAAAACCTGTCATCGGGCTTTCAATTATATTTTGTGACGGACATATTTCCTATGAAGTTAAATAGATTTTGTCAATTACAAAATATAATCAAAAGTCCGATAAGAGCTTTTCCTCGGCATTACTCATGTGTAAAAAGTATGAATGATTCATATTTTTTTTAAATATATTTTTAGTATAGGTTTTTTTATAAATTTATTTAGTGTGAAAACTGAAGTTGAAAATTTTTGAGAGGTGTACTAATTTACCAAATATAGTTACGAATAATACGACATTAATTCATATAAGGAAAAGTATTTTTTTGAGCTGATTTTTATGTTAAGTAAATCATGCAAGAGAATATTATTAATAAGATGATTTGGTGTTTCTAAAATTTTTTTAAAATTTTATCTAGTACATTTATGTTAACACTTTAAGATTGATATTGATAGTGAGTGAGTTTAGAAATTTAAATCTTTTTTCGTATATGAGTTGTTTGTTGTATATTTTTGGTTAATCTGATTACATAAAATAAAGAATCCAATTAAATTCTTATTTATCATTTGATGAGTGAGGTTTATTTTTTATATATAAAGAACCTTTATTCGATAAGCGAAAATTTTTTTTGAGCGGATAACAGTGCATCTCTTCTCATCGCGCAAATATAAAGTAGCGCTAATCTAGATTCGTGCTCTGAGATATGCGAGTATTTTTTCACAATACCCACATTCGCACGCTCACCTTATATATATATGATTAGATAATTTTTTGTTACCATATTATATACTGTATTAAACTCTGGATCCCATTTATTGTTTTGAGCGATGATCATCACTCCACGATTGTGATTGCGATTGTGACGAAAATAAGCGTTTCTACTGCAACAAAAAGACCTTTGAGATTGAGTTCTGACTAATTATTTTAGAGATTTGTCAGGGGCTTAATTTCAATAGATCGTTTGACACTCTTAAATATAATATAATTATTTTACTGTGCCACTGTCGATTGTAATTACGGCGCAATAAATATTTCTATTACAATTAAAAGCATCAAGCTATCTTTTGAAAATAAGCCCCGACTAATCTCTAAAATAATTAGTCAGAATTCAACCTCAAAGGTCTTTTTATTGCAGTAGAAACGCTTATTTTCATCACAATCGCAATCACAATCGTGGAGTGATGATCAAAATTAACAAACAAGTGACGAATTTCGAAAATAAATAGGTTTTTTTTCAGTAGCATTTTTATTATACGTATTGAATTATAAAAAAATAAAATAAGATTCTCTGATTTTAATTTTAAAACCTCTAATGCATCAAATTCACTGTTCTCCATCAAAGTACTTTATTGATGAAATATAATGATTAAAATTCATCGATTATCGAGTTTACTGCTATTTTCATAATTTTTGGAACACCTAGTACTCCAGCCGATTCGATTAAGTTTGTAATTTCGGAATAATAGATTCAATAAAAATACAAAATTACGAAACTGTAATGGTTTACAATATATAACGCATTGTCACATGATAATTGCACTAGCATTACAAAAGTTTTGCCAGCATTAGTAGATATCCATCATTGTGTTCGGAGCTTAAATTTATATTTATGTTACAAAAATTTTACGTAAAATTACGTAAAATTACGGTAATTTTCCAACCCTATACCTGATACTTACATACGTAACTTTTACATTAGCAATTAAATAGTGCGAAAGTTTTACCAGCACTACTAGACTTTATATGTCAGCTCTACGAAATTTTTGGCCAACGTTAATTACATGCAAATCGTATGGGCTAAAATTTTTGATGGGAGTGTTGTGATTATTAAAATTAAGTGATATACGTAATGATTTATAAATGAT